TTAGAATAATGCCAGTCTTTGTTATTTATTTTCAGTCCCTTTGTGCAGGAGCAAATAACTGCTCGAGTGGTGAAGAGTGAAGTTCCTAGGTACTTACGTGAGCTGTTATGACATTTGATGCACAAAGAAGAGACAGTACAATTGGATTTATGAAGGATTTATGAATCCAAGGGCCAGACTGACAAATCTTAGTTACATTATTCCAATTGTATTTCCAGCAGAAATCGAGTTGGTTGAGTTAAACTGATTTTTGTCTTGTCTAGTCTATCCATTTTGCTCTACTGGTATTTTGAAAAGGTCCCAGGAGGTGCATTACAGTATCTTTGGTATGGAAGTCCCTTGTTTTTTTGACCTCTGTAAACAAGGTTGACACTTACTATCCCTGGATGTCTCTGTTCCTCTGTTTAAAGACTTGGATGGATCTGCTGGCCTACTCCCTGAAGTGCTGTCAGTATCTTTAGTTCTGGAGCAGCTCCCAGACATGATCAGCTTCTCCATCTAGATGCCCAGTAGACCTATGGCCTCTATTACTATGCTGGGATTGTTTTGCCTATCTTCACTTTTCACCATGAAAGTTATCAGTTCCACAGCATGTTACCACCACAAAAGTTGGACCAGACTTACAGCCTTGTTCCAAACTTATCACTAAACACAACATGAGAAACAGTGTTCCGAGAGAGTGAGTACTTGCCGCGTATCATGTCCCAGTTGAACCTTTCAGATGGCTCTTAGACTGCCTGAAAGTTTAAGTAAAGGATCATCAGTGCATGGGATGACAGCTGGTGGCACAGGGTGACTCACAGGGGTCTTTCGTGCCCAGTTGGCCCAGCACAGGTAGAATGCACCTTATAGCAGTGAAGTACTAAAATTAAAGCCCTGAATCAGACTTGCAAAACAGTTAAACCTGACAATGAACACTTAGCCATTGCTAAGTCATTGTCCTCTGCTAGTGGGAGGCTCTGAGCTGTGTTCTATTACAGGACAAAGGCATCACCATGTACATGAGTGTCTCTGTGGAAGGAGACATGGACATCTCTCTCATTCAAGGGCAGTTTGGGTCCTCTGAGGACAAAGACAAACAATGGTGATTAGGCTTCTGTCGGCAAGGAAAGACAGAGAAGTTTCCCATGAACCCTAAGTGTCTCTTTGTCTCACAGAAGCTCTCCAGGACCCAGGAGCTGATGGTATAAGTGCCTTCCACTTTCCCTTTGTAAAAGGGAATGCTTTATGAGTATTTCTCAGCCAAATTCCCAGTTTGCAAAGCAAGACCACAGGCCTTGAAAACCCAGTGCTCTGAGAAGGGTGAGTTCGGATTTCTGTCACAGACAGGCATAAATCCCACATAGCATCAAAGGCTTCCCTTTTGTTGTTGCTTATATGCCACATTTTCGCTTTGCTTTGCCATTTTGGATGCTTTGTGAGACCCTTGGCAATTGCTTAGAGCTGAGCTTTATAACTCCCACACCATCCAGCAAGTAAGCTCTCACCCAGCCTGCTGTCCACCCTGCCCGGAGAATCAAAGAGTCTCCTGGTCTTTCTCTTCTGCTTCTTATCGCTCTGTCTGGAATAATTCTGTCCCTCTGCCCCTTCCCCCTTGCCTCCTGGTCTTCCTTATCTATTTAAAGCTTTGCTTTTTGTGTTTTGTCCTCCTCTTCTCCCTTTTAGTTGAACATATTCAGTTACATGGCAGAAAGTCCAAGAAAGAAAATGAAGGCACAAACATGAAACCAGGACACTTTGTACAAAAATCACGGAAACATACATAATGGAGTAATGGTTAGTCCCTTCTCTGCCTCCTCCTCTCTTGTCTCAAATCATCTGTCAGTCATAATTGATGATATCTGTGAATTATTGAAACTCTGCTATGCCAGGTAGGAAAACAAATTTGAATGTTACCTAGATGTAGCAAAAAAAAAAAAAAAGCATTTTTGTGCTTAGACTCAATCCCTTGCTAATGAAGCAATTTTTTCTGTTTATGACCTACTGAGATTACTACTGACACATCCTAAAACTTTTCCTTTCTCATTCATTATCAGCTTTGTCGTTTTAGTTTCTTTTCTGGCAATATTCCACATGCTCCATCCCTGGAGATGTTCAAGGCTGGGTCGGGTGGGTCTCTGAGCAACCTGGTCTAATGGAAGGTGTCCCTGCCCACAGCAGGAGGGCTGGAACTAGATGACCTTGAAGGACCCCTTCTAACCCAAACCATTCTATGATTCTATGATTTTATTTTTATGCCATAATTTGTATTTAAGATG